CCCCCCGACCCCCCCCCCCAAACTACGGGCTTGGTTCATCACACAACTTCGGCGTTTGAATGTCTTGGATACACAATTACATTAGGCCCGGGGACTTCCACAGTCTATCGTTTAATCTACATTTTGCTAAATGATCTCAGTTTATTTATATCTGACTGGTCATGTGCCAGATATTAGTAGATAGACACACTGACAATTGCGTTCAACCTTCATTCTGAGCGATAGGAACTTTGCAGTATTACTTGTTTTTGACACTCCACATATACAAGTGTGTTACTGATGTCATCTTCCACATTTAGCTAAATGATCTCGTGTTATTTATATCACACTGGTAATTTTTTTGAGAGTAGTATCGTAATACCTGACCATTGATCCAACCTTGTTTTCCAGGCAAACTTGACGCATACTCATGTATATCATCGTGTATTATTTATTTATGTTATTCCATATATTTTGCTAAATGATCTTTGTTTTGTATACATCTTATTTTACACATTGACATTTTTTCAGGGTTTCCGTTCCAACGTGCACCAATCTTGGAAGTGGATGGAGTTACAATTGCGGATAGTCAAGCCATAGCCAGATTTCTAGCAAGACGACATGGTAAAAAAGGACTGTACTGCATATGGTGATTTATCAATACACTATTTCTATAAATGGCGCCCTCTAGTGACGAGCGTTTGTGTGACGTCAAAATGGCGTATATGGGGGAAAAAATGTAGTTAAAATCGTCAACTGTGTTTGGTTGTGTAGTTGTTTGTCATCCAGATTAAAGTAAAATTTCTGAAAAACAATTTTATTGATAGACAATTACAGATCAAAATAATATCGCCGCCGACTCCCCCATTTACATCATAATAAAAACACTTTGTCGCTTGAGGGCGTGACATTCGAGAATAAATCGACTAAATGCACCATTCTAATGTGTTCTATGCTAAATTTGATGTATTCACTGGGTTTTAATTTAACTCATTTTCCAGTCAGCGAAATAAGCAAAATTTAAACTCAGTGAATAATTAACACTTTTACATTAGTTTTGAGCTGGTTTTTGAAATGTGCTACTATCTGGTCAGACAGGTGTGTGTGGCAACAACCTTCTCTTTTCCAACTAATAATTTACTCGGCTCTTTAATAAGAAAGGTTGTGAGTGACAATGAAATGGGACATTTAAGTATGGCATGTGTATCTTTTAATTTTTGTGCAATTTTTCAATTTAACTATATGAACTATGACTGGGAATTTCCATTGAACATATTGGTTATTTTTACCTCAGTGTATTCAACTTGCTAATTACATTGACTAAACAGGTTTGTATGCAGATGACGTGTTTGACCAAGCAAGGATAGACATGATAACAGCCACAGTGCAAGATATGTATCAGAAGCTGAACGATATATGGGAAGCCGAGGAGAATAAGAAGCAAGAATTAATGGAAAAATGCTATACCAATATATTCCCGGTGTATTTACAAGGACTTGAATGTGTATTAAAGGAAAACAATGGTGGCAATGGATTTTTTTGTTGGCGAAAAGGTAAGGAACATATGTGAAGTAATGTAAATGCCACTCGTGGTTTTGTTTTTACTAGTAGATGTTTAACATATCTAGTTGTGTCAGGTTTTGTGTGTGCATACATGTTCCCCAAAGCCTCTTATTAAATATAATTGTTTTACTGTATCAGTGTTGC